AGCCTGGTGAGTCACACTGGGCCTAGCCCTAACCCTAACCCTAACCCTAACCCGAACCCTAACCTTAACCCTGACCCTAACCCGAACGCTAACCCTAACCCTAACCCTAACCCTAACGCTAACCCTAACCATGATCCTCAACCTAACGGCCTCGTTATTAACGGACACAGCCTGGTGAGTCAGAATCAGAGTCAGAATCAGAAATACTTTAATAATCCCAGAGGGAAATTATTTTGTTAATGGCTCCATTGCCAATCCAACTCTTCCCACATCCAAGTCGGCCATTTTTGTTTAGGTCATGTGACTAGCAGCTTTCTGAGGTGGAAACAAAACTTTACTGTCTATATGAAATCGGAAAATAAATTATGTCCTGACCCTAAACTTGACCCTAAAACTGAACCTAAACCTAACCCTAACCCTGACCCTAACCCTAACCCTGACCCTAACCATGATCCTCAACCTAACGGCCTCGTTATTAACGGACACAGCCTGGTGAGTCACACTGGGCCTAACCCTAACCCTAACCCTAACCCTAACCCTAACCCTAACCCTAACCCTGACCCTAACCCTAACCCTAACCCGAACGGCCTCGTTATCAACGGACACAGCCTGGTGAGTCATCCGACTCCTCCCACATCCAGGTCGGCCATTTTGATTAGGTCACCAACAGGAAGATCCCAGGCAAGAAAATCCTAATTGCTTCATGGCAATATAGACATTAATTTAAAAATAGTTAAATTAATCTTGCAAACACTGAATTAAACTCTATCCATAATATTATGTTAAAATAGTGGATGTTAAATAGGTTTGTACAATAAGTTCAAACAATTTTAACCAACAAATATTTATTTCTCACAATTATGAAGGGTGGAGGGTTAGGGTTAGGGTTAGGGTTAGGACATCGTTTGTCTTCCGATTTCGTATAGACAGTAAAGTTTCGTTTCCACCTCAGAAAGCTGATAGTCACATGACCTAATCAAAATGGCCGACTTGGATGTGGGCGGGGTTGGATATCCATCCTTGATTATTATTTAGTACTTTTGGCCTTTCCACTCCCAGTTTCCCTTCATTTAAATGAAAGTTTTTGCATAAATATCTCTGCCTCGAGTCCCATTTCAGTCTAAAAATACAGCGATTAAATGTTGTTGCCTGGGATCTTCCTATTGGTGACCTAATCAAAAAGGCCCGACTTGGATGTGGACGGAGTTGGATATCCATCCTTGGCTTCCTGCAGTCTTTCATTTCCTGTTTTATTTTGATAGTAAGCATCCTTTTGTTTTAAGGTCTTTTGCACTTCCCTGTGTGTCATATGTCTGCTTTATGTTTTTACATTATACCCTTCGGCCTCCTGTTCCAAAGTGATTATTCTTTGACACTATTCATAGCTTTTTCTTCCTCCCTTTAAAAAATTATTATTATTTTTTACTTTTGGCCTTTCCACTCCCAGCGAGTGTGACTTTATTTAAATGAAAGTTTTTGCATATAGATCTCTGCCTCGAGCCCCATTACAGTCACAAAATACAGCAATTAAATGTTGTTTCCTGGGATCTTCCTGTCGGTGACCGAATCAAAATGGCCGACTTGGATATCCATCCTTGACCATTTCCAAGAGTGATTATTATTTAGTACTTTTGGCCTTTCCACTCCCAGTTTCCCTTCATTTAAATGAACGTTTTTGCATAAATATCTCTGCCTCGAGTCCCATTTCTGACTAAAAATACAGCCTGGGATCTTCCTGTTGGTGACCTAATCAAAATGGCCGACTTGGATGTCCTGCAGGCCTTCGCCCTGGAGCGCAGCATGCAGCTGGAGTTCCTGAGGACGGCGTGCATGTGCAGGGCTGTGATCTGCTGCCGGGTCACCCCCCTGCAGAAAGCCCAGGTGGTGGAACTGGTGAAGAAACACAAACGGGCCGTAACTCTGGCCATCGGGGACGGGGCCAACGACGTCAGCATGATCAAAGGTATATATACATATATATATCTTATATATGTTTTTCTATGACTTTGATGTCATACATTTTTTATTTTATTTAATTTTGATAACTTATATATTTTTTTGTGACTTCGATGTCATACATATTTAATTTTATGTAATTTTAATGTTATATACCTGTTTTTTTATGACTTCTATGTCATACATATTTACTTTTATTTAATATTTAGATTGTATATATATTTTTCTATGACTTTGATGTCATACATATTATTTTATTTTATTTTGATATCTTATATATATTTTTCTATGACTTCTACATCATACGTATTTACTTTTATTTAATTTTCATATTTTAGAAATATTTTTCTATGACTTCTATGTCATACATATTTACTTTTATTTAATATTTAGATTGTATATATATTTTTCTGACTTTGATGTCATACACATTTTTTTTAATTTAATTTTTATATCTTATATATATTTTTCTGTGACTTTGATGTCATACATATTTAATTTTATGTAATTTTTATGTTATATACCTGTTTTTTTATGACTTCTATGTCATACATATTTACTTTTATTTAATATTTAGATTATATATATTTTTTTTTATGACTTTAATGTCATACATATTTTTTTTAATTTAATTTTGATATCTTATATATATTTTTCTGTGACTTTGATGTCATACATATTTAATTTTATGTAATTTTTATGTTATATAACTATTTTTCTATGACTTCTATGTCATACATATTTAATTTGATGTCATTTCTATGTTATATAATTATTTTTCTATGACTTCTATGTCATACGTATTTACTTTTATTTATTTTTTTTAATTTTATATATATTTTTCTATGAGTTAGATGTCATACATATTTACTTTTATTTAATTTTTATATCTTATATATATTTTTCTACGACTTTGATGTCATACATATTTAATTTTATGTAATTTTTATGTTATATAACTATTGTTCTATGACTTCTATGTCATACATATTTAATTTTATGTAATTTTTATGTTATATAATTATTTTTCTATGACTTCTATGTCATACGTATTTACTTTTATTTATTTTTTGAAATTTTATATATTTTTTTCTATGAGTTAGATGTCATACATATTCACTTTTATTTCATTTTTATATTTTATGAATATTTTTCTGACTTCGATGTCATACATATTTAATTTTATGTAATTTCTATGTTATATAACTATTTTGGTATGACTTCTATGTC